GACCTCGCTGACGCAACAGTATTCTTTTTCATTTTAACGTGGTCTCCATTGTTTACGCACTTACAGAGCTAAAATCCGGGATTCGATTCCCCGTGATGGACAGAGCAAATAGCTCAATGTGGCTTTGCACAAAACAAACAAATCCATTAAAACAAATAATTTCAGTTAGAACACAGTTTCATGTTTAGCTCCGCACTTCAAATTACTTAACTTTTTTTAAGTGGTTAAATCGTTTCTATATAATATTTGAGTTTGAATAGAATGCGAGATATAATCATGGTTAGTCATTTTAATGCACGTGCATAACACAATACAAGCTCTGTGTGCTCCAAGTATTGTGTTTATTATTTGAACCCATGCACTACATACAAATAGCTTTAAATTTTTAGGTGGGCAATTGATTAAACAATAATGAAACGTAATTTTTAATTAGTAGTGGCAGATTGTTTTATGTTTTCGTCAGCGAACAGAGCGACAGGAAATTACTGGTTCATGACTATAATTAAATATGAATTGTATCGTTTTTATTTGACATTAAATGCGTGATGATTTCAGTTACATTCTGGTCAAAATCTGTCTTATTTTATTTTTTATTTTTCTCCGATGAATTAAATAAGATGTACCCCGGTGGGTCAGCGTTAAGTTCATGAACTTGAATCTCTAAAATCCGGGGTTTGATTCCCAATGTAGCTTCGCGCTAAAACAAACAAATAAATATGAAATAAGATTATTTAGAAATAGACTAAAATTCATGATAAATTAAAAATTGTCTTACTTTTCTGTTTAATCAGTTACATATAAATGTTGAACTAAATATTTGGAGTCAGAGAATCAATTTAATGAATTGTTACGTATTTACAAACGATGATCAACGGTTAAAGAAAAGTGCAAAAAAATATTTTCTTTTACGTTTTAATTGTTTGTTTGTAATTAAACACAAAGCTACACAATGGGCTATCTGTGCTCTGCCCACCACGGGTATCGAAACCCGGTTTCTAGCGTTGTAAGTCCGCAGACATACCGCTGTGCCACTGGGGGGCCTTACGTTTTAAAACGACACATGTGATTGACGCATTTTTTAAAGCACCAATACTCTTTATGTGATTGCCCTGCCCCCCCAGTGGCACAGCGGTATGTCTACGAACTTACAACGTTAGAATCCAGATTTCGATACCCGTGGTGGGCAGAGCAAGAGAGCCATTGTGTATTTTTGGGCTTAATTACAAACAAACAAACTTTATGTGATTATATATAAAAAAATACAAATAGCGAATTTTATCATAATATCCTACAACGCTCATTTATTTTATCATAATATCCTACAACGCTCATTTATTTTATCATAATATCCTACAACGCTCATTTATTTTATCATAATATCCTAAAACGCTCATTTATTTTATCATAATATCCTACAACGCTCATTTTTCTCTAAAGATGTTTTAAAGCAGCATAGTTCAAACTGGGGGTCCGCGAGTCATGTCCTGAATTAAAAAAAAATAGTTTTTCAATTAAATTTTGGAATACAGCTTTTCATAAATACGGAATCTTTTTTTTTTCAAAATAAAAAAAATATCGATATATTTTAGGGTGTCTTCAGGTTAATAAAATTTGAGAACCGCTGCCCTAAAGTAATGTTGTGGTGGCTGCATTACAATTAGCTACATAGCTGTGACTCATATTATCGAAAAATGGTCGTTTTTGAATAAAATTATAGCTTAATGATTGAAAGGAAATTTAATTTTACAAAGTGAAATGTCCCCCGGTGGGACAGTGGTAAATCTACGAACTTACAACGATAAAATTCGGGGTTGGATTCCCCGCGGTGCTACCCAGTAGTTAGCTCAATATGTCTTTGCTATCAAAGAAAAAAAAACAAATCGAAAGTTACTCAAATACGAATTGACTAATGTTTTGTCTTTTTTTTTTGTTTCTAGCATTGAGTTTAAAACTACAAGAATCGTGTGGGTTGTTATATTTATTAACAGCATTACGTGTCAGTAGACTGAAACAAAGCTTCGAGAGTTTATATTGTAGTTTTCCTTGAAAAAATGACGAAATAGAATGAGTAAACATTTTCCAGCGTGACTTAAGTGTCTGAGTATTGAAATTCAAGCTCGTGATCCATTGAATAAAATCAATATTCGTTTTCAGTGAAAATCCACAAACTTTCTTTAGTTCTGAGATGTTTTGATTTTGTGTTCGTTTACTGCTCTTCCCAAGATGCCGAACTCGTTGGCTGTAGATCTTATGTCACGGTTTTGTAAACAGTGGCCAAGAATGGCTGACTGATTATATAAAGTATTTTGCGCATGCTCTTTAATTCCTGAACCCAAACAATGTAACCACTGTCATGTCTGAACGTCTAAGAATCGGTACTTTAGCACTAAAAACAGTCAGCAATTTACTAGAGCTTACTGCCTTTGACGGAGGATAATAGCACTTTATGAGAATAATAGCTCAGGTTTCAATACGAGTCACAAACACAGTCCATTGGAGCTACGTGGGGAATAGGATTGATGTTATTTCAATTCTCTGGGTCATGAAAACAACAGCTGATTTTGAGATGTGACTGGACCTTTGTGAACTTTTCGTGTGTGAATGTTGTCATATTCAAGCCCTTGTTTATTATCTTGTTACCAATATTAATAGATAGTTCCAGCTTCATCGCAATGTCCTTTTGGATCGGAGGTATCTCTTAGCCTTCATTTTAGTGGTGAGTGTTTCTTCTGGATCGGGTTAGAAAGTATTCTGTTGTAGTCTATAGTACTCCAGCCATACACCCCCGAACAGCATTGCACTGTCCAATGGTTGGCAATGTTTTTCGTTGAAACAAATTTAAATTTAAAAAATGTCTCATTTATCAACTTTGACGAAGGCCTCAAAATTGTAGCCTTCAGCTACTCGTGTAAGATTTCACATATTGAAAACAAAGATGGCGACTGGTAAGCCGAAGAGAAGATGGCACTTTTATTATCCCAGTAAGATATAATATTTTGTGTGTTATGTATGTGTGAGGGGAGGGGTTGAGATAGATGGATAAGCAGCTGTCTAAACCAGTGAGAGATTTTGAATATTTTGTTTATTCCTTATATGTGATTACGAAATCGTTAGTCGTAAGTCTGTCTATTTTGTTGTTGTCGTTATAGAGGTTATAGGGGTAAAGAGACTAGAGAGTTAATCGTACTTTATTTAGAGGTTATAGGGGTAAAGAGACTAGAGAGTTAATCGTACTTTATTTAAAGGTTATGTGCAAGAAAAGCAGTGGTGTATGACAAAAACACGAACCACGATATCTCAGGAAACCATCGTTTACCCTATGAACTTTGCACTACGTTCCTTGGGGTTGGTTTTTATTATCTACTACAATGAAACATCACGCTATTACAAGATTTACGTTTAAACATAACTTTTTTTAAACTGATCCAACACGGTTTACCTATAAGCAAAGTAACTAACTACATTTTTGCTGCGTTATAAGAAGTCGCTAAACATCAGAGCGGTTTCCCATCACTTAAACTGTTGAATTCCTAATATCTTTAACTGTTGAAATTCCACTTACATCACTTATATACGCTCCACTAATTTGCACGATGCGTATATTAGCGGAGCACAGGCGCGATCCAGTTAGTGATTCGATTACTTCACAAGTGTATAACACCACTTCAACCTATATACACTCTCGCCCCTTCCTATAGTAACTCGTACTGAGTTGGAAGAGAATATTTAAAAACGCTTCTAACCCTACTGCGGTTTCATCACACCACTGTATATATACCATACAACAAAACAACGGGTTGTTAATTTCGGCATTAAACAAAATACAAACTGATTTAGTATTTACCGCCCACGTGAATGTACCATACAATTACTAAAGAGCGTTTGGGGATATCCAAGTATCTCTAGTACCCATTTGTGTAACCTACTATTAGAGAAGAGGATTTGAGGATATCCGGGTATCTAGTACCCGTTTATGTTTTCTACTAATACAAAAGAGGGTTTGAGGATATCCGGGTATCTCTAGTAACCATTTATGTTTTCTACTATTACAAAATAAGGTTTGAGGATATCCAGCTAGTTCTAGTATTGATTTGTATCTACTATTACAAAAGAGGGTTTGAGGATATCCGGGTATCTCTAGGGTCCTTTTCCTTCTTTTTCAAAATGTACGTGCAAGTTGTTACTCTGGAATTACAGATGGGGTCCAGAACACGTCGACTTTTCAAACACATTTTTATGATGTGTTTACGTACCAAACATGTAATCAAAAATACCATTATTAGTCCATTCAATTCCACTAATTATTGCTGGGATCTACCTTGTATTTTTACACACAAAAAAGAGTGATTTTACTCAACTTGTTTGACCAGTAATTTACAAGTGTTCATTATTTAGACCCTACCAGTTGTAAATGGTGTGAAAACAAATGAATATATCTCAGCTCCAACTCTCTCTCTAGTCCAATTACCGCAAGTAATGATAGCCAAAGTGGCAAGCCTCGAACAGTTGGCAACTGTGTGTGTGTTTTAATATTTGCTTATACTCTTATCTTTACGGTTTTTTTTAGCCGCGGCATATCGGCTCATAGAATGGCTCCGAGTTGTTTTTATTCAAGTACAGCTCCATTTATTGACCGATTTGAGATCTAATTACAGCCGCGGCTATTGAGGATTCCCTTTTGTTCATTAACTAAAACAAAGGTTTTTGAATCTCTATTGCCACGCCTGGTTACCACGTGAGATTTAAAACTAAGATAGAGAGGATAAATGTTGATAGACACGTATAGCCCAAGGTTAAACTATTACTAGTCACTCTCACAGAGCTGACGAGAACTAACAAAACACGAAACTGATGTCCCCATCCACTTGCGGTCGAGTTTTGTAATTCAATGTGAGCTAATATAATATGCATTACAGCTTGTTAGTGCATGGCAGGTGCAGAAAACCTGAGAAGTAGATATACAATATTTAAGCGGAAAAAGTGGATACTCAAACTCGTATTTGCATAAGTGGGTGTATATATATATTAATAAACCCTGAACTTGTTTAGGCAACATGATTTATTTACCGACATAGCTGGATTGATGAGCCCAAATATCCGCTTATGTTACAAGAACACAGTCATGAGAAACTCTTAAAAGTAAATATAATTCTGAAGCTCTGTATCATAGTGAAATATTTTAAAATGGAAGTTTAAAAAAAAAACAAGAACAAAAACTATGACTTAAATCTATAAAGATTAATCAGCTCAACCAAAAGTGGAGTTGTTAGTCAACAGTAGCTCAAATTTCGTATGATTTATTCTCAAATTATACAAAAAAAAAAAATGACTCAGTATTGGTTTTCGTGTATATTTGTCACTGCAGACCGGCTGAGTAAAAACCCGGACAGAAAATCATTAAGAAGATTTAAAAGTAAGTAGTGAAACAGAAATATTTTTCAGGTGGATTATTTGTTTCAACTTTGGCGCACTACCACACAAGGACTACCTACGTTAGCTGTCCCTATATTTGAACTTAACAGACTAGAGGAAAACCAGCTGGTGAACAACACCCATCGCCAACTCCTGGGCTATTGTTGCGTAATTCAATATTGGGATTTGATCGTCGCACTTATAACGCATCTATAACATCCCAAAGTGAGGAGCGCGTTTTTTGCGGCAAAGGAACGTAACGAACTTACAGTCTGGGCACGCTAACCACTAGGCCACGCATAGTCTTAGATAGAACTAACATAATAAAGCCGGCGCTTATTATATAAAAAATGCCAGCACACACTTAATTTTTAATTGTGAAATGTATACAATATTCTTTGTTGCAAATACTACCAAAAAGAGGGACTGACATCGCCGGGTGGTTAGAGCGCTCGACTCGCAATCTGCGGGTCGCGTGTTGGAATTCACATCACACCAAACATGCTCGCCCTTTCAGCCATGAGGGCGTTATGATGTGACGGTTAATCCCACTATTCGTTGATAAAAGAGTAGCCCAAGAGTTGGCGGTGGATGGTGATGACTAGCTGCCTTCCCTCTAGTCTTACACTGCTAAATTAGGGACGCCTAGTGCAGATAGCCCTCGTGTAGCTTTGCGCGAAATCCATAACAAACAAACAAACTGAAAGCGCAAGTCCATGGTTTGCGCCACGTTGTCGCAAAATTGTGTTCCGCACCAGCCATGGGTGGGTTGTAAGATTGACGACCAAATCATACTAGTCCGTACCAGACTAATCAGACTAGATTAGTCCAAGGGTTGGCGGTGGGTGCTTTGACTAACTGCCTTCTCTTTAGTATATTAGCTCAAAATTAGCGAATGCTAGTGCAGGCCCTCAGATGGTAAGCCTGAGAAGTTATAGTGCTAAAGTCGGGTTTCAATATCTTCGGTGGACAAAGCCCATATAGCCCACTGTGTAGTTTTAGGCTGCACTACAGAATAGCCTTTGTGGTAATTAATAGAAAATTTGTGAACATTTTACATACTTTTATTTTATTTATTTATTGTAAGCTGTTTCGTGCATATAGTTTACAACTGGAATAACCATAGATTTATTGGGCGATATATTAGATGTTTTTGTATGACCAACATGTTTGTATGTAGTTGTATGAAATAACTTATCAACCACAAAATCACAATATATCAAAACTGCGTTGAAATTTTATCACAGTAGAGTAATAAACTCGCTGAAAAGTAGTTAATGACGCTATGAAACCGGTTACAGTTTGATAAAATATTGTAGTAAGAATATCATTAAAAACATCGTAATTTTACATTTAATACCCTCTTAATCTAATTGAAATGAAATGAAATTAATTGTACTTTATATAACATATATATTTCAATGTATTTTATTCATTTTTTTAATAATATGCATTTCGATGCTTTTTTTTTTCCTTTTTTTTTGCATAATTCTTACCATTATGAATTTCCTGTTCTTAACTTGGCCAACTGTTGCGTTATACTACTCGTGCACGTAACAGTAGTTATCCAATTAGCGTCACCAGGTGTGCTTACATAAGAAAAATTCTTCGATTCACAAAATAACTACTCATCTTACACAAAAACTGACAGGCTGATAAGGTCGGTACTTCAATAACATAGAGCAAATCGGGAAGTCCAGTTACCCCAGTGTGTACTGTGACGTCAGAACCCTGCAAAGTTCAAAAGTTATCGGATGATACAGCAAAACCGTGTTTTCAAAATTAAAACAATTATTCGAACTTCTACATAAGTACGATAAAAAAAAAATTATGATAATCGAAATCTCGTCTTTTCTGTTTTATGTACTATTTTGAAAAACGTTAGTTAGGGTTACTTCACTTTTCACTCTTAAACCTCAAAGTCAATTTTTATTCCGAACTCAGACCTTAGTTTATAAAGTTCTAGTCTGAAAAAAAAAAGTGATATCTATTTTACGATAAAATATCTGTGTTAATAAACAATGTTGATCTCGGTACTTTGTATGCTGTTGTAAGTAATGAATTCTGTACTGTTTGTAATTTATTTTGAATATGCTTAGATGCCACGTTTATCCGTGAGGAGCATGCATATTCGATCACTGGATGTATATAAGTTTTGTAAATTTAGGTTATATTATCAGCTTTCGCTCCACTATTCCTGGCCATTAGACTCCTAGCATAGTTCGTGTGTTGCGAAACTTTGGTTTTAATATTGTTTAAGTGTTTGATCCACGTTAATTTTGAATCATACCTTAAGCCTAAGAATTTTGCCGATTACGTATACGTGACAACAGCAGTGAATGGGTTAAGCCGACCCGTATACGTGACAGCCGCAGTGAATGGGTTAAACCATAAATAATATCTTATAGCATACAAACACACAAACAAATCTAAACGTAAACTTTTACACTGAAGGTTAATTGCACTTTATGAACACTGTTCCGAGTCCCGTGCTGACACTGGAACTACTTTTCCATTGTTGATTTACTTAGTTTGGTGGCCATGATTACGCATTGTCACCTGATACCATAATTTGAATTTTAACAAGTTTTGTGGAGGATGACGATTTTAATTTTAGACCACACATATTTACAAACTTTCACCAGACTCTACATTGTGTAAAGACGTCGGCCCCAATACCGTACTTAAGTAGAGTAAAGCCACTAAAGTTCATACGACACGTATTAGAGGGACTTCACAAATAAGTGATCAAATAAGATTCCTGAGATTCCATCTTAAGCCTACCAGTGGCACAGCGGTATGTCTGTGGACTTACAACGCTAGAAACCGGGTTTCGATACCCGTGGTGGGCAGAGCACAGATAGCCCATTGTGTAGCTTTGTGCTTAACTTTAAATAAATAAATATGCATCTTTTTCATATGAACGGCCGTTGATTTCGAGGTATGATTGGAAGCTTGTGAACTTTCGACTCGTTAGGTTTTATTAATTTAGAATCATTTATTATCTTGTGATTGGTATCAGGAGATATGCCCAACTGTATCGACATTATTTTTTGAAGGATTAGAAAGTCCTATCTTAATCATAATATCCACTTTGAGATCGTTGCTTCGAATTGGCTTGCTGTCTTAAACTCTCCGCTGTGCAAGTTTTTTGTTTCTATGTTAGATATTGAGGGACTTAAGTTATGGTGTTATTTGGATCTATATCTCGCTATATCAATTTTTTTTTCTGGAAAGTACTGTGACGTAGTCAATAATTCATCATGAACCAAATACATAAGTACTTAAAATGTCGCCCGTGGCACCAGTTCTTACACTTGCGATTAACCCTATAGCTCTAAATGCTTTACACCAGTATAAAGTTTACGTTTCTTATGTTAATAGCGAAAACAAGTGTAATATAAGGAAGCTAATCGGGCAACAGTTTATGAAATGTAACACAACTGGATTAGTCGAATTAGTAGTTCATTTAAAGATCGTAACTCACGAGAAAGCACAATATAAATCATACAGATTATAATGGATATGAAAACTAAATGTCGCTCTTGTTGCCATTGGTTGAGGATGTTTCATATAACACGTGATTGGTTTAAGTAAAAATAAGATCACTTAAGGTGATCATTTGCATAAGCGACGTACACGTGCTTCCAATTATTTCGTTTAACTCAAGCACATAGTCGCAAATACCACATCATGTGAGACCATGCAAAAAACACAGTGCCAATTAAATTAGTTTCAACGAAAATTATACACACACACACACATATATATATATATATATATATACACACAC